CTCGAACTCACAGAGATCCGCCTGCCTCTGCCTCCCGAGTGCTGGGATTAAAGGCGTGTGCCACCACTGCCCGGCTTACTGTAAGCATTTTAAAGACTGCATCCATTATCTCAAAGTTTGCCTCCTCTAACCCTCTCTCTTGACAGATAGGGAGCCAAGGTTTAGAGAGAACAAGGAATTTAACCCACACATGGAGACAATATCGAGGTAGAGTGAGAACCCTGGGCATCGAATCCAAGTTTAATAGTTTTGCCCATGCTGCCAAGGCATCTCCCAGCACCAAGTTTTGTTGGTTGAGAATGTCTTAGAAAAAGCTAGGATTGGTGGGGCTGATAGGGAACTCTCGGGTAACCAGATCAGGAAGGCATCGCCGTTGCTCCTTTGAAAGCTCTTGAGAGGCAGAGGGAGCAAGTTTGCTTGGTGAGTCTATAGAAAGAGACAGGATAGACCACAAGCTTGAGAGAGGCAGATTTAGGAAGAACTTTCTAGATCATTTGGTAGCAGAAGCCCGTCTGGTCAGCACAAGGAGTCAGATGTCCCCACCTCAGGTCCCTAGGTCATTAGCAGAGGTCTCTGCTCCAAGGTCCCTTCCAAGACTTGAGTGTAGGAGTTCAAAGTTCAACATCCGGAAAGCTGGGTCAGAGCAGTGACCAGGGGGACTTTCTAGATCTTAGCTCAACACAGGGACACTGCTGGGCCATGTCCCTGGAGGATCCCTCTGGGTAGAGTGGAGAAAATGTTCCCACCACCCCAGAGCCCTGGGCTTTGCTTTCAAGTGTATCTCATTGTCTCTGATTCCTGTTGACCTCTCCCATTGCAGAGGAGGGAGTGGGGAGGAAGAAGGGGAGGAGGGGGAGGGAGGGGGAGGGGGAGGGAGGGGCTAGGAGGGAGGAGTGGAGGAGGGAGAGCTTGAATAGGGGGAAAAAGCCTTAGAACAAAGAGGGATCAAAGAGCCCAAACTTGACTTTTTAGCCCATCGTTTTTTCCAACCAATTAAAAAACCGCAATCAGTGTACTTAGAATGGAGACTTCATCTCATGACCATAAATGGAAAACTCCCGTACCTTTATCCTCAATAGAAGGAAACTGGGAGGTGGGAAGAACCACGAAGCAAACAAACCACTTCCGTTCACTGCAGCTGCATAGTTTCCCTTGGAGGCTCCAGGCCATGTCTGCTTTTTGCATTAAGAAGTAGGACAATGGGCGTCAGAGGTACAAAGGGCATCTTAGCCGTAAATGAGGCTTCCTCTTCACTGCCAAGAGGTTAATACAGGTCGGGTCTCGGCTAACAGTCCCACCTGAAGTCACCTTTCACATCTCAGGAACGCAGAAGGAAGTGTCTCTTGCTGACCCATATTCTCTTCTCCCCACAGGGTTCCCAGCACCATGAGGGCCTGGATCTTCTTTCTCCTTTGCCTGGCCGGGAGGGCCTTGGCAGCCCCTGTAAGTACCCAAAGATGCTGCCTGAGTTCTAACTCACCCCACTTTCCCCAGCTTCTGAACCTTCTCTAGGTGCTGGAGGAGACAGCAGGGCTGGGATGTGGCTCAGTTGGTAGGGTGCTTGCTTAGCATTCATGCACAAGGCCCTGGGTTCAGTCCCCAGCATTTCGTAAACCCAGACTTATGGAACACACCTATAATTCTAGCATTTGGCAGGTAAAGGTAGGAGGTTCCAGAATTCAAGGTCATCTTCAGCTACATAGTAAGTTTGAGGGTAGCCTGGGCTACATGAGATCCTGTCTTAAAAGAAAAAGGAGCTAGAGAGATGATGCAGTGGTTAAGAACACTTGCAGAGGACCCAAGTTCAATTCCCAGCACCCATAGGTAGCTTACAACCAGGGGCCCTGTTGCCCTCTTCTGACATCTTGTGGGTACTAGGCATGCATATGGAATACAGACATACATGCAAGCAACACACTCATACACATAAAATAAAATAAAGAAATCTAAAAATTAAAGAAAAAATATGTAAGTCTTTTTCTTAAGTCAGCATGGTTAGGAGAAACAATGGGAAGAAACTATTGGGAAAAGGTTCCAAAAGAGAGAGCTCTCTGTACCCCACAGGTCAGAGCTTACACAGCAGTTCAGGCTCCCATTAGCTGGAACCTCTTCTCTGAGGGTGTCAAAGCAGGGATGAAGGCCTGTTGGTGGGAAGGAAGCTGGGAAAGGACGTAGGTCCTGGGAAAGGAACAGGTTGGCTTCTGAGTCTATGAAGCCATTTGATTATATGTAACAGACTCCAGGTGAGTTGCGGGGGCGACGGGGGTGGGGGTGGGGGCGTGAGGTCTGGATGTAGAGGAGATGCAGACAGAGATTATGACATCGGAGGCTGTAGGAGGCCTGGGATGGGGCAGCCCCAATCAGATCTTGAGGCTGGAACTGGGCAGGCTTTCAGGGAGAGGGAGAGGTTGCCATCAGAATGAACCAGAAATGGCCATTACTCCATCTTCAGGAATGTGTGGATGTAACACAAGATGGAACAAAAAAAAGAAGAAAGACATTTAAAGAGAGCCCATCTGGCCAAATGAGGTCCTAGCCCCCCTACCCCTTCCAGAGTCTCTCTATATACAGTTTGCCTTCAACTCCCAATCCTAGGTTCCGTGTGCCGCCACCACGCCTGGCTAGAAACAGCTTCTTTCAATGGCATTCCCTGCCCTCTTCACTAGCGGGTGGATGGCAGCTTCTGGCCAAGCTCATCAGGCAGGCAGAAGACTTGGTGCAGTGGCCTATAATTTTGGAAGCAGTTACGGCCAATCAGGGGCCTCCAAGTTTTGTGTCACCCCCTCCCCTGGCCACACCCCGTCCCGCTCCTCCTGGAGTCTGAAATGTCAGGAGGGCAATTTTCTAATAACAATAAAATGAGTCACACATGAGGGGCAGGAAGGTTTGACATCTGTTAGAAGTCACAGAGGGTGTTCATTCTGTCTGGGTCTCTGTTTCCCCATCTGCGAGTTCTTCTGTGTTTTTTGTTTTCAGGCTGTATTGAGACTTGACCAGCAGAAATGCTCCTGTCAGTAAAATAATAGATGGGCTAGATGGTTTGGTGGAAAGTATAAAAAAGCCAAGTGTGGTAGCTCATGCTCATGGTCCCAGCTCTTGGAAGGCTGAAACATAACTGGCCAGTTCAAGGCCAGCCTGTGCTCTGTAGCAAGAGCCTGTCCAAATGAAATGAAATAATGAGATGAAGGCTTGCTCCAGCAGTAGATTGACTAAAGTTGGAAGGATACAGAGAAGATTGGCCCAGCCCCAGTGCAAGGGGACACACGAATACATGAAGAATCCCACACTTTACAAAAAGAAATAAAGAGCGGGCTAGTGAAATGACTCAGCAGCCAAGTCTGACAAACTGAGTTCGATCTCCAGGATCCCCATGGTGGAAAGAGAGAACCAACTCCCACAAGTTGCCTCACTGTGGCATGGGTGCTTACTCCATCCCACACACATAACTCACACATACAAATAAAAGAAATGTAATAACGAATTTTTTAAAGGAAGGAAGGAGAATGGAGTTGCACTGTGTGGTCCAGCCTGAGACCTCAGTGCCCCCAGGCTGCGTTCCTAACCAGTGACGCTTCAGAGAGGAAGCTGGCCTTGGCCTTGACCAACTCTCGGAATCCTGTCTTCTTTTCCAGCAGCAGCAGACCGAAGCGGCTGAGGAAATAGTGGCAGAAGAAACCGTGGTCGAGGAGACTGGGGTACGGATGTGGTGTAGTGGTGGTGACTGCCCCTGCCCCGCCCCACTCCCCACCCCCACCCCCGACCCCCTTCTGCCTACTCCCTTCCTTGGGCCATCCAGACAAGTGTAGTGGGTCTCCTCACTGGAATGGGACACACATCCTTTCCCTGTGTGCACACAGGACACAGATATTAACCTGAATATCCCCAGACACTCCTGACTGTTCCCCAAAGCTTCAGTGGAGCTCTGGGGTTGGGAGGATTCAGAAATGTTTGCGTTTCATATTTCTTCTCTTATTACCCGCAGTTTCCCCTGGTCTGAGACAAAGGGACCCATACAGTTGGGCCTGGCAGGAGTAGAGGGCTTGGTATGCTGTTTGTCCTAACATCTGGGAGGCCTCTGATTTATCTTTATGGAATTTCAGGGCTCTAGACATATTTAGTCTAGAATAATAAATTGAACAAACTAATAATAAATATAGGCTTTCCCCTAAATTCTCCACCCTAGCTTTTGCACTGTGATCTGGGTCCAGCTCACTTTTTTCCGGTGTGTCCCTCACACCCTCTTTGGGTTTCTGAAGCTTTCATGTAGGTCCCTCTTCCTTCTCTGCAGCTCTCTCCCAGGTCTGGGGGTGGGTAGGGACCCCTGGCCTCATTCTCTCTTTTCCATGGCAGGTGCCCGTGGGTGCCAATCCAGTCCAGGTGGAAATGGGCGAGTTTGAGGATGGTGCTGAGGAAACTGTCGAGGAGGTGGTGGCTGAGAGTAAGTCTCTTCTGACACTTGGCACATCTGGATTGCCCTTGCCTGCGTGGAGGCCCAAGGACAGCTCACAGGAAGTTTCTGACCAAGGAGATGCATTGTGGGGCCCTGGTAGCTGTGGAAGGCCAGCTGGGAATCCTCAGGCCAGGGGAGTCTGGGATAGAGTTATTTATAGCCAGGCCCGTCCAAGCTGTGAAGGGCAGAGGAAACTCCACACTTGGGTGTCACATTCCCACAGAAGTCATGGTCACATCTGGTCACCAAGATTCCCCCAGGGCCTCAGCCTGGGCTCAAGCTCCTCCCGGGAGCCCATCTGAAAAAGCTGACTGGCTCATTCAATTTCCACTTGGCCCAAGGAAGCAGGGCCTATAGGAAAGGAACCGGATGTAAAGTCTGATGGCTCAAGTACAGAGGGAGTGTCTCAGGGCCCCAGGCTTCAGCCTATAGGCTGAGGCATCTGTGTCCAAGGGATCAAGGGCATGGACTTTGGAAGTAGAGATTCAAACGAGATTTGAATCCTTTGAACCAGGGCTTCTTTTTTTTTTTTTTTTTTTTTTTTTTTTTGGTTTCTCTATGTAGCTTTTTGCCTCTCCTGGAACTCACTTGGTAGCCCAGGCTGGCCTCGAACTCACAGAGATCCACCTGGCTCTGCCTCCCGAGTGCTGGGATTAAAGGCATGCGCCACCACCGCCTGGCTTGAACCAGGGCTTCTATGTCTTAACAAAGCAGTGGTGCAGATGGAAGCCCCAAGGAAATGGCTCAGTGGGTAAGATCACTTGCTGCACAAGCGTGAAGACCCAAGTTCAAATCCCCAGCACCCACTTTAGCTTTCTCAAGGGGACAGTTAAGGGTGTCTGGAGAGAGCTGGGCAGGCTTGCTGAAGCAGGGGCTGGGCATGGGGTCTTGAGTCATATCCTTTTCCTCTTCCATGCCCAGCCATTGTTTCCTGTCATAGCTGGGCCCATTGTCTACTGTGGTTCTGGGTTCTTCCTTTTCCTTTGTGGACACCTGATTCTATTTTGTTGGACCTCACAGCCCATTGAATCCATGACAACAGCTCAGTCTTCCAAGTCATTCTAGAGAGTGCTTTGAATCGAGAAATGCTGTCCTGTGGTTGCTCAGCAGAGAGCTGAGAATCTAGATGTTGTTTCAGTCATTGGGGGATCCATAGGCACCCTAGGTTTCTGAGTCCCAGATTGAGGTTCTAGCCCTCTGAAAAGGGGCCTAGTCCCGACCTTGAACTGAATCTCTAATCCGTAGACTGGGCCAACTGCTCCCCTGAACTCTGTGACTGAGCACAGGGGATTGGGAGATGCTTAAAACTCTGGTGCTGGGAGTCCAGTACAGCCCAAAGCGGTCAGCCCCAAACTCCCGTCTGTGTAGTGTGGGGGAATGTGCCACCCTGGTGAGCTGACACTATGCTCTATCTCCCAGACCCCTGCCAGAACCACCACTGCAAACACGGCAAGGTGTGCGAGCTGGATGAGAGCAACACCCCCATGTGTGTGTGCCAGGATCCCACCAGCTGCCCTGCTCCCATCGGCGAGTTCGAGAAGGTAAGAGTGGGGACCTGGGCCCCGCGAAGCACCGTGTGCTAAGGAATCTGTGGGCATGGGGGACCTGGCAGGGCAGCTCTGCTCTTGGAAGTCCTCCCTCTAGGACCAGTCACAACAGGAAAGTGGGGCTGAGTCATAGTTGAGGGCCTGCTTGGCCCCACCCACCCTTCTGGCGGCTGCTGAGAATTCAAAAGAATTTACTTGTACCACCAAGCTCCAGGCTCTGTGTTGAACGTGATCACTAAGTGCTATGTAATCCTAGATGGAATGCACTCTTTTTTTCTTTTTCTTTTCTTTTTTTTTTTTCTTTTTCAAGACAGTTTCTCTATATAACATTGCTGTCCTGAAACTCACTCTGTAGGCCAGGCTGGCCTCGAACTCACAGAGATTCACGTGCCTCTGCCTCTCCAGTGCTGGGATTAAAGGCATGCACCACCATCACCTGGCATGGAATGCACTCTTGCTCATAATTTTATTATTTTTAGTTTTACATTTTATTCATTTTGTGGGTATGAGTGTATGTATCATACACAGGGAGGTCAGAGGACTTGCTGGGGTCTGTTCTCTCCTTCCACCGTGTGGGGTGCAGGATTCCAACTCATCAGGCTTGGTGACAGGCATCTTTCCTTGTTAAGCCATCTCACTGGCCCTGTCATGCGTTCTCTGTAGTCAGCAAAGCATTGTGCCCAGAGATGGGGGTCTAGGGTCTGCTTGAAGGTTGACTGCCAACCTCATCTCCATCACTTGATGGCTGTGAGATCTCAGCTAAGGTACTGAGTATCTCTAAGTACCCTCACAACTGAAAAGGGAGAGAGAATCCTGAACTCCTAGAGCTGCTGTGCGTTTGTTAAAGGATGCCAGGTATGTGACAAGGACCCAGCATTGTTATTTCTCAAACCTATCCATTCTATCTCCAATATGCGCGCACCTACCATGTATCCATCCACCCATCCATCCACACACCCACCATGTATCCATCTACCCACTCATCCGCACACCCACCATGTATCCACCCACCCACCCATCCACACATCCATCATGTATATATGCACCCATCCTTATGCATTCATCTACCCACACCACCACAAATCCACTCATGAATCCATCCACCCACTCAGACACCCATCAGCTCACCCACCCACCCATCCAGCCACCCATCTGTCTTTCTACCTATCCACTCATCCATCTATTCATTCATTCATCTATCCACCCACCCACCCACTTAACCACCCATTCACTCACTCTACTCATCCATTCAAAACTCATCATCCATTCATTCATCTATCTACCTATCCATCTATATAGTCATCCATCTATCCATCCATCTATCTATCTACATACTCATCTATGCAGCCATTCAAGCAAATATCTTTTGAACTCTTACTTATGTCAACCATTGTGGTTGGTAGTGACCATCTGTCTCAGGGCAGAAAACCTGGTACCAATATTCTTCCAGCAACTTCCAGTCTAGGTGCTCATTCTTAAATATCTCTCCAAGACAAACCTTGCCTCTGGGCTTCAAATATTAGCTTTACTTTTAACTCCCCCCCCACACCAAATCCCACTGCTCTCTGGTGCTGCAGTCTCCCCCTACAGCAACGTGTAAGCCTTTACTGACTCCACACCCAAGGGCTATCCAAGGCTGCTCCTGTCTGTGTCCCTGCTTAACCCTCAGCCTCTCTGGTTCCTTTATGACCAGAGGTTTTCCGGCAGGACTCAATGAGTCAGTTGGCCCAGCTGAGGTTCACCCCAGTCCATATTCTGAAGAGCCATCTGGACCACATGGGAAGCAGAGAGGCTGCAGCATCCAGGGAGTCTTCACAGAGGGAGGGTTACACAGAGGTCTCTCTTACCCAGCTCCATACATGGGGCAGTGATGCTCCTGCCTAGAGGAGCCCCTGGAGTCAGCTCTCTCCTTCCACCATGTGGTACCTTTACCTGCTGAATTGTCTCACTGGCCCTTCAGTTTTCTTTGGGCAAACCCTGGTGGTACAGGGAGGCTGGACTAAGAGGACAGTTGAAAGTTCAAGGCTTCCCTCTACTACAGTGTGTTTAAAGCTGGCTTGGCCAATGCAGTGAGACGGTGTCTTAAATTAAAACAATGAAGGGATAAGGCTTTAAATCAGTGATAGAGCATCCACCTACCATGCGCAAGCTATTCCGCTCTGGCACTGCAAAAATGTTTGCACCAGGGACTGGTCCCATAGCTGCCTTCTTCTGAGCGGGGACCAGTTCCAGACTCCCACTGGGAGCATGGGTGCTCCACCTAAAGTAGCCCATGTTCAGTGAACATCCTTGTCAACTAGGGCCCTGCCATCAGCCAAGCTCCAGGCCCAGGCCATGGCCACCCTTATGCTGTCTTCCTTCCTTCCTTCCTTCCTTCCTTCCTTCCTTCCTTCCTTCCTTCCTTCCTTCCTTCCTTCCTTCCTTCCTTCCTCCCTCCTC